GCTCATGTTCATCTTGGAGTCAATAATGACTCCGAGATCCCTTTCCGCCTCTGTGCTTTCAAGAAGGGAACTCCCCAGCCTGTATGTATGCTGTGGATTCCTTCTCCCCAGGTGCAGCACCCTGCATTTGTCTATGTTGAACCCCACCCTATTCTCATCTGCCCACTTTTGTAGTCTGTCTAAATCTATTTGCAGCCTCTCCCTTCAAGTGTGTTGATAATAACTGCATTAAACCGTCATAACCACATTAAACTACCATGGGCTTTTCCTTCATTTTCTTCCTGTTACTACAACTGTGTTGCTTGTATGTTTGGCATGATATTCCATTTCGTAGCTTCCAGAAGCCCATCAGTGCCAGACAATATTGCCTTTGGTTTTCTCTAGTCCATTTTTCAATGTCCCAAGACATGGCTTCAACCACTTCCTCCTAACAAAACAGTCATCATTGCCCTCCCTGCCAAGAATGGCTTCCCTGTTTTGGGGAGAAATATTGGCCTTGAAGTTAAAACACCAGGGTAGGAGTCCAGAGATGTAAGTTCAGTTATTAGCACTGTCACAGACACCCCGTGTGACCTGGGAACAAGGAGCCGATCTCTCTGTGCCTGTACTTCCCATTTGTAAAGTGGGGATAATCATAGCTTCTTCTGCCTTGGCTACATTATGATGATGATGCTGCTGCTATGCTTTGATCAGGTAGAGTGACATAGGCATGGGGGCAAAGAGTGGGATATCTGCTGACTGCAGAAGTGAAAGTGATATTTCCACTGGGAGTGGGGAAGTGGGGAATGTAGTTAAGTTAGGACTGGACTTTCAAGTGCTTGGGTCCCATTTAGACACCTAGCTAAAGAGCTCAGATGTTCAGAGATGCTCAGTGTTGACTGTTTGAGTGTGCACCCAGCAAACTGAGCTGTTCTTCAAATATAGCACTCAGGACTTGCCCTATTCCCAGTGAAGTGAAGGGAAAAAAAACTCACCATGACCAAGCAGAGACAAAGCACATCCTTAAGTTACCTCGCACCAGCTCCAGCAGAGAAAAGCAATTAGATAACTCAACATCTGCTCTGCCCCTCCACTCGCCGTTCCTCTTCTGACCCTCTACCACCTCCTTCCCAACACATACAGCATATAAAGCTCCTCTGGGAGACAGCTCAGCAAAACCCATAGCTGTAGGAATAGCTGATATAAATATATTGAATCCCTTTAGCCAAAAGGGTCTAGAAACCAGGGTGCGATTTGAGATAGTAACAAGTTCCAAATTGTGTTTTCCATCCTACAGTGCCTTGAATTTGCCAATCTCCAAGAATTTAGCCCCACAGCCCCTCTGCAGTTTAGCCAGCAATATCTTCATGCTACAAAAGGAAGCCAACTCATGGAAAAGATACCTATAAGGGCCTTGTCCACCTTTGGACTTGCCTTGTCCTTTGTCCCTTCAGCTCCCAATTCATCCTCCATTTGTTAATTAAATCTGCAATTCCTCTGCCTAGAAGCTCCCCGAGTTCTCCAGAAATGATGTAGCAAATCCTCACCCTACCATAATAACAATTACTTTTGAGTTGATTTAGAAACATATAGGTGCTGATGGCTGCTGTGATTTTTTTTACATCATAAAGGTCCCGTGACCTTTCTGCTGCTTTCCTGATAATTCACTATAAGCTCAGCTCACCAAGTGACAAGAGGATACCACATATATAACCAGAGTTTCAGAGACTCAAGGGGATTTTCAATGTAATTAATAGATGTCAAAAGATGTGTGACCTTGATCTGGATAATGTAGTTTTGATCAGCTGAGGTTTGGATAATCGAGGCTTCTTATCTTGTATTAAAAAGCAATCCCTTTTCTAGAAAATGTCAAGGAACATGAAGATTTAGGTTATTGCTAACCCTGCTGTCTTCACTGAGCACACAGACATGCTGCAGTTCCTCTAGCGCCATAACTTAACTTGTCTCTCTCCAGAGAGAAATGTGTTGTCAGGTTAAGTATTGGCATTTAGTAATTAATGTTGCACTGCTACACTTGTAACATTCCCTTGAAGAGCTGCTGTAAGCAGAAATGCTGTAATCAGAGCTCCATATCTTTGGATCAGTGTGATCGTCCTCAGCCCACACACTAATTTAAGAAGAGATTTAAGATAAATGCAAAACTGACATCCAGATATCAACCCAAAACCCCTTGGGGTATTCAGTAGGGCTGGCTATGAAGTATCTGTGTTTGAATTGCTCCCCACGCCACACGTGATGGGTCCAGCAGGCTTGCAAAGTGTTTAAATCTGTGCTTTTAATGCGAGTTCTTCTCTAGACATTAGTGCGAGAGCACAAATCATTCTCACCCAGCTGATATGCACTGGGTCACTGTGCTGGGGGGCTGCTGAGATTAAACGCAGCTCCTCGACATAAGGTGTTTAAGATGCTGCCAGTTCCCTGCAGCCAAGGGCAATCTCCCGCTGACTTCAGTGGAAGCAGGTTTAGGACCACTAAGCAAATTTTACTGGACACCAGAGCATTCATTCATCACAAGCCTGATGTCCAATTATTGGAGATGCAGGCGGCGGCAGCTCAGATGAGCTCATCCTGTACGCGGGCTATAGACTGCACTGTAACAGGGGGCCTCCTCGTGGCCGATCTCCATGGCCCGCCCACCTGTTCTTGGGCTAACCACCCCCCTCCTCGCCTGCCATGCCTTGATGTTAATTGATTCACTGATTGATGTCAATTAAGTGGGAGGCTGCCCATTTTAGTGCCCTGATGCCAGGGGGCGCTCTCTGCGGCTCCTATCCTCCCCAATACCGCAGCCCAAGCCTCGCAGATGGCATCTTGGTGTTCACATAGTCACCGGCCCCCACGCTGGGCCCCAGAATCATCCTACAGGACCCCTCCATGATCCCTCCAATCAGGCGGCCTCTCCACCTTCATCCAGGCTAACTAGCCCCCCGAAGCCATTTTCCCCTCTCGGGTGTGGTCCCCCCAGGACCTCCGGCTACTAGCCCTGGCCCACCTCTAGGCCAGTTGGGACCCCAGGCCCCTGGCTCTTGGGCATCCCTCGCGGTGCGTCTGGGTCGGGTCTCAAGCCCCTCACTCTCTCCCAGGGTCCACCCTCCGGGCCCCTCAAACAAACAGGGTTATCCACCCGGTGGTGGGGGCTAGGGGTTAAGGTGCCCCAGCCCACCTTTCACTGGGGTGGTAATTGGCCTGGCATTTCCTGGGGGCTCCCAC